ATATATAGGGGCAGAAAATGTATATATCATTTCATATAGTAAATCAATATCACATGAAGAGTGCCGGTTTTTCCTCCAAATATCAGTATGATTACTAATAGATTTTTTTTTTTTACAACAGTTCAATAAACAAGAAGTTAATTAAGAGACTTGCATTTTAGACACCATATTGCCTGTTTTTGCTCTATTTCTACAACAAAAATAATTCCAAACACAGCCACCATAGCACAGTTTTGCGTCTCCATGCAACATGACGGTTTTTTGTTCCTGAATCAACCGTTTAAAGGGGTCATATGATGCGATTTCAATTTTTCCTTTGTCTTTGAAGTGTTACAAGCTTTATAATTTCAAATGAGTATTCAACATTTTGTCTTCTATATAAAAACATTATTTCTGCATTTGTAAATGCAGGTTAAATGCATTCATGTCCTGCATTAAACAGTGTGTAAATACTAAATACCACTTCGGATGAAGCTTCGGTGTTTCCTCTGCATTGAAAAGATGAATTTTGTTGATACTGATTTCATTTGCCTGGTAACAGCCCAAATGTCTTATTATTCTAAATAAATGATTCCAAAAACAACTAGTTTGAGATTTATAGGCCTATCCCAGAGGTTTCAAACTCAGTTCCTGGAGGGCGGCAGCCCTGCAGAGTTTAGTTCCAACCCTGCTCCAACACACATACCATGTAGTTTTCAAATAAACCTAAACACCCTCCTTGGCCTATCCCATTTTTGCCTCCCTCCCACTGTTAAAATGTAACTAATTCTTACTCTGAGTAAATTTTAAATTAGCTACTTTTTACTTTTACTTGAGTAAATTTTTAGACTGGTACTTTTACTTGTACTTAAGTAAAATTTAATTAATGTAATGGTACTTTTACTTGAGTAGAATATTTTCGTACTCTTTCCACCTCTGGTTATATCTTTCACTTGGATGTTATAAATTGCACTGAGTAAATACAGCTGGATAAAACAAAAACTGTGCCCATCTGCTGCAGGCTGCAAAGCAACAAAATGTGATTATTTTAAGGGAGGGTGTGTGATTATTTTAAAGTCTCGAAGACTTTATTATTTAAACTCACACTTAATTATCTGAAACAACTAACAGAAGCTCCACTTCCACCAAGCCATGCTGAGAAAAACAGTCCTCTATGCTGCTCATTCTTTCTGCTGGCAGTGAACTGGTAGTTGACACTTTAAATACATTTGAAATAATAGCCAGAAACAAAAAAAAACATTCTGAGTATAATACTTGATACATCAGACTTTTATGGTTCATATAGTATGATATAGAAGAATATGGAGTTCACACTCAAGGAGAAATAAACCACCTCAGTTTGATTCAGAGACCCAACCTGAACAAACACATGCAATATGGTGCAGTTGATATGTATATGGCCAAAAAGATGAAATTCTGATAGCCTATAATGTAAACCAATGACATCTTTGAATCAGTACAGTACAATTGACATAAAAAGCATAAAAAAATATCAGTTGTCATTATATCTTCAAATTATATGTCTTAGTAAGACGATATTTAAATGCTTTGTTTTATAATCAAAGCTCTGTATTTTCTTATTGTTGGGGAAAAACAATGCAATGCAATACAATGATGATTAACATATGTACTAATAAATATTCATTCATAAATATTCAATATTTTTCTAAATATTATGTATGGATAATCAAGTAAACCTAAGTTGTTTCAGTTCAGTAAGTGTTCAACTAGAAATATAAATAATAATATGAAAGGTATTCTTATGTTTACTTTACAAAAATCACATCTAATGTACCATGGCATGAAGATGGGCAGTTTTAGAGTGATACTAAAAAGCCTTTTATTTGCTAAAAAAGTATAAACTATTAATTCGATGACAGAAGGCATGTAGTTGATTGTGTACAACAGGTTTATTTTCTGCAAATTCTTGATCATGATAATTTAGAGGCCTTCGAAATTTGTGTAACAAATATAATGCTTTATAGAGTTAAGAAAGTGTAGAAAACCTGTAATATCTTTTCAATAGTATAACTATGGGCTTCTGCACACCTGTAGGGGTTAATGTACCTGCCGTCTCAGGGTCGGGATCAATGGTGTAGTTGAAGGAGAGCGCGCAGCCTCGCTCCGTCACCTGGAAGGGGAAGAAGCTCTCAAACAGGTCAACTCCTGCTTCAACACAGCCAATGACCTCATCAGGACGACCAACCCCCAGCACCAACCTGACAGAAATGGCAAAAGCTCAACGCACTGCATGCTCAGGCTTAAAATACAATATGAGTCAAATACAATGCTTTTTGCCTTAATGGGAATTATTATTAATTAAAGGTTAACTATATAGGTTAATTAAAGGTCATAGTTGTCTCTGCATGTTAAGCTTAGATAGGAAAACGGATTTAAACATTGAATGAATTACACAATTCATCTGCAACAGGTAATTCTAAGGCTTTGGACCACACAATGCATTTTTTCCCCTATTGGTTTGGGAATACTTTTCTCAGTGTACTTCAGTAAGACCCCAAAGATAAAATCAAAGCCAAGTTCAGCCCAGGGTAAATCATTAAGTATTAATACAAAACCAGTGAATCTGTGTTTTTTTGTGCATGTCTCCACACTGCATTTCAATGGAGATCCAAAAGCTATCTCAAACACATCAACAAAGTCATGCAGTGAAACACAAATTGTTTTTGAAGTTATATAAATTTAGAAGTTTGGATACACTCTTAAAAATAAAGGTGCTTCAAAAGGTTCTTCAAGCGATGCCATAGAAGAACCATTTTTGGTTCCACAAAGAACCATTCAGTCAAAGGTTCTTTAAAGAACCATCTCTTTCTTACCTTTTTGTAATCTGAAGAACCTTCTTTCGCCACAAAGAACCTTTTGTCAAACAGAAAGGTTCTTCCGATGTCAAAGGTTCTTTATGGAACCATTTAGACAAAAAGGTTCTTCTATGGCATCGTGAAGCACCTTTATTTTTAAGAGTGTAGTTGCAAAAAGTAAAATGAGGATTTTTTTAAAAATGTTTTTATAAGAAGTATCTTATGTTCAACAAGGCTGCATTTATTTAAATACAGCAATATTGTGAAATAATTAATTTAAAATAACCTTTCTATCTTAATATATTTTAAAATATTCCTGTGATGTGATTTTCAGCATCATTTCTCCAGGCTTCAGTGTCACATGATCCTTCAGAAATCATTCTAATATGCCGATTTGCTGCTCAAGAAACATTTCTTATCATCAGTGTTGAGAACAGATATGCTGCTTAATATTTTTGTGGTAACCACTATATTTTTTTCAGGATTCTTTGATGAATAGAAAGTTCAAAATAACAGCATTTATTTGAACCAGAAATCTTTTGTAAGATTAAAAAGATTTTTATTGTCACTTTTGATGAATTTCATGCATCCTTGCTGAAAATTTTTTTGAACAAAACATACATAGTCCAATAATAGCATAAATACTGCAGCACAGAAACAACTTGTCCTGCTCTAAACCTAAATTATGTATCCTGTCCTATAGCCTGTCTGCCTTACAACCTTCTCCAGCTCCAGTTATTTGTGACCTGAGATACACCCAAGGGAAATGTTTCTAACAAGACTATAAAGTCCAGTGGGAAGCAGCCCTCTTAAGACCCCACTGAGCCACAAGGACACTTCCATATCCACACTGCTTTACTTCCTGCCATTGTCTTGCTGTCTCTGTGTGATTCTCTAACCTCCTAGTCATTCTCCAGGAGAGGGAGATCAGAGAAATCAATCATTACACCACTAGGAACTCAAGGTGAAGTTTGTTCCTGAAACCTTTCTAACCCCAGCACTTCCATCTCCCCGGAAGGGATGAGGTGGTTGCTATGGGCTCCTGGTGGGATGGAGTGTTGCTATGGCTGCTGAAAATCGAGGTGCATAATCAGAGAGTAATAAGAATGGGAAGATCTAGCCACTCAATCTCCAACTTAAGAAACGTCTGAGCCTCTGAGGCAGAAATTTAAAAAGACACCATTTTTACCTGGGTTTTTCTTGTGGAAGCTCTGCAGATGTCGCTTTAATCAGCTGAGCCCTCACATCCTGGTCCATGGCAGCAGAATGAAATCCATCCAGGACAAATCCGCCCACAGGATGCTTGGCAGTCTCTCGTGCCGACCGGAGCCTCTCCTCCATAATGTCTCCACCCTCCACAACCCCAAATATCTCGGCCTGTTTTAATTCCTGTAAACAAAGACAGTACGTTTATATTTATTTATTTAAATACATTTCTAGATTTTACCTGTCAAGGCAAACAAAATTAATAAAAAAAAAAAATCTAAATTCACAAAAGTACATTATTTGCATGTGCTTTAAAGCCTTGCCGGTCAAACATGTCATTCGTGTGCTGTTCTGACGTGCTCTTTTTCTGAGCGCGTACACCTGAGGCGCACACACCCTAAAAAACCTGTCAACCAGCACCTGATTACTGGACTAAATTAATTTTTGCGTCAGAAACACACAAGGATTACATATAAACACTGTTGGTTATAGCTAAAGTGAAAGTAAACAATTAAGAGAAAAATGGATGCGTGCAGCTCTTAAAGTGACAGCAGACTAATTGTAATAAACATGCTGCCGCTTGTCATTAAAGGGATAGTTCACCAAAAAATTTAAATTCTGTCAGTATTTACTAACTCTAATGTTGTCCCAAACCTGTATTAATTTATTTCTTGTGGTGAACACAAAGGAATTAATTTAATGTTAATAAAACAACATAACAAAAAGAAAAGTCACTCACTGCTCTTGACTGAAGAACTTTAAAGGGGTCATATGATGCGATTTCAATTTTTCCTTTCTCTTTGGAGTGTTACAAGCTCTTGGTGCATAAAGAAGATCTGTAAAGTTGCATAGACTAAAGTCTCAAATCCAAAGAGATATTCTTTATAAAAATTAAGACTTGTCCACACCCTCCTAAAATACCTTGTTTAAACACGCCCCCACGTCTACGTCACTGTGTGGGAAGATTTGCATAACACCGCCCAAATGTTCACGCAAAGAAAGAAGGCATAACTTTTATTCTCGCTAGAGTATTGTTGTTGCCGCTCCGCCATGTTGTGGAGACGCTGTGTGTTTCGTTGTGAAAGAGAAAATACTTTGTTAGGCCTTCCAAAAGAGGACGATATCCACTTCGTCATGCATAGAGCTGATCCGTGCTGGTCGCTGAGGAAATACATCAACTTCGCGCTGTGGATCGG